TTAAAAATTATAGATGGCACTAAAGTATAGTATTGGTTTGACCTCGTTTTCGCAACTCGGTCGGAGCGAAAGGATACCTTGTGGAACGTGCCTGGTCCTGAGTCATCTGCCCCAGTATTCGTAATTTTTAGAATCGGAACATTTACTTAATGCATTCCCATACGCTTCGCCGGCATCGTGAGTGAGATGCGCCATCGTTAGCACAGAGTTACAACCCCTGTCACTGATAAGTTGTAACTCTGTGCTAACGATAGCGCCACTTATTGACGATGCCAACTAAGACGAGAGCGAAGCGTATGGGAACGCAACAAATCATTGGCCTGATACTGGAAATTGAGAATACTAGGGCAGAGCATGCAGAACTAGGTACATTCCACAAGGTCTCTTTGCCGCTCCGAACAAGTTGCGAAAATGAGATCAAATCAACACTAGGCAGCTAAAGGAGACTATGACCAAACAGAAGGCCCGACAATTTTAGTCTTCATAACTAAGAATAGATTATATAATTGGAATTACCAAACGTCTGAGAGCGTTGTGAAGCGGGCAGAATGCATTGTCTCAGGAGCCATCCACCGAATCGGCAGACGAGCTTGGCCCTGCTTTCGATAATATGGGTGATCGTATATGTTACGAGTAAGGCCAAAGTCTGAAAAATCGAAAGTAGAAAAAGAATAAAGAGAATATCCAACACAATTAGAAATAAATATAAGCAACAAAATATGAATAGATTTCCCGAGTAACGAGGCTACGGAGGTTCACACGAATTTCTGAATTGCACAAAAAAGACAAACAACCTTAATTTATTCATAGATAACAAGGTGTTAGGTCTGAATATATCAAGTGGATAAAAGAGGAGCATTATCATAGCAGCTAGATTATGGTTAATAATAATTAGTGAATATGGCTAAAATGAAGAGTACAAATCAAAATAGTAGATTATGAAGATCCATAATTAGAGTAATATTATATGAGAGGAGTATCGGAATCGTATTTATAAACAAATGATAGTGTAATATTAATTTTGGATAAAATGCTACGAATCGAAAAGCCTCAAGAGCAAGGGATAAAAAATTAATCAAGTAATTACTAGTGTTTGCTCACAAGAGCGGTTCAGATATCATGAAATGAATTATACAATGAGCGAATGGAAGATTGAGGAAATCACAAAAATAAGAAAAGCCAAAGTGCCTGCTTACCACCAATTTTGATTGTCATGTCGGCTCCGACCAGACAGTTCCTGGCAGCCAGATCTCGGTGGACGTAGCGCTTCGAAGACAGGTAGGCCATACCATCGGCGATTTCGGCTGCCCAGCGTACAGCCAAGTGAGGGGCAACAGAACCCTCATGATAATCCTGATGGGCCATCCGCTGGCGGAGATAGGTAGCCAGGTCACCGAGCAACATCAGCTCCATGACAATGACCGGCGTCTCTCTACGCAGAAGCGCCTGATGAATAATGAAAAGACCAGGAAGGAGAGTATAAGAAATCTGCCTAGCATAGCAATCTGTCTATATAGCATAATTAGCAAATTTTTATTAAGATAAACTAGCATAGCAGCATAGCATTCGGATAAGCTGACTATGTACGGGGTGTGGGAGCCTGGCTTTTATAAGTAACCCTTTCATTCTGTCAAAGATGCCTCCGGTCTTGATTTGATGATGGGCTTAATAAATATAACTAGCATATTTTCAAAACATTCGTGGTGGATGTGCAACGCAGTCCCCAAAGGAGTGTATCATTATTCTAAAATAATAGTCATAAAGGAGACTAATTTGGAGATTCATTTGCCAGACTAATCAAAGCAATTTTCTGATTACTTGTATACCAATAGTGATTATTCTAATTAATTAACCGATTAAATCTCTAGATTTGGAGAATATGCTATCGAAATTAAATACTTCAGGAAGATATGCCAATATTAATATATTCAGATGTTTGCATGACAATCCAAAGAAATGAGCCTACCAGTGGATAATGAGGGAAACAATCTGGAAATTTATAATAGAAAAAGGCATCAGATCCATAAGATACATAAGACCACGCTGGAAAACAATATTTATTTGTTGCAAACATAAACTAAAAATAAATACAAATTAGGCAATTAATTTAGACGCACACTCCTAGAGATTACGCCCAGCATTCGAACAACGTGATGACAAGAGAACTGCTTCATATGATTTGCCTCATTGAGAAAATCTCGAACCTCCTCATAAGTGGTACTCGGTGAGACTGTCTGAAGTAAAAAATCGAGGGGGGAGGGGCAGAAGACAATGTTAAAGAAATTAGTAATGGCTTGCCGGAAGTTTAATTACATTGAGTAAAATATATGTCTCGTTTTAAAAAATTCATTTTTTTCAGATTGGCCTTTAAGAAATAGTCCTTAACAGCTTCTGGAATGCTGGGTTGATACATTTCCAGAATCACCGATACTGTAGCCAATATCATGAAGAGCGATATAAAGCAGAAAAACACACAATTCCTAATAATAAAATTAGTCTCCAAATAAAAATTTTTGCGTAAAAAATCAGAATATGAAAGGAAGCTAGATTTTAAAAAGTCCCTCAATGCATTTATCATGGTTTACCTTGCATTTCGTTTGAAGAGGTGGAGAGAAAGGACTATTAATGTGGCTTTATTTAGAGCCGAATGAGGATTGCCTAGGAGTTGTGACTGGAGAAGGATGGCTCATCGGCTTGCCACCCTAAAGAGTTCGTCTTTCATTTGTGAAACATTATTAGAGCATAAAAGCATGACTTATGAAAATTAACCAAGCAGTAAGACAGGTAAGGAGGCTGGCTGCAATCCCAACTACTACTTATTACCTAATTCAATTAAATGCGACATCTATAGGAAGTAGGTTTTTTGAAATTATAGAAGTGGGTTTACCTCGCTTCGCAACTTGATCTTGTCAGAGAGACTTAGTTGGACGTGCCTTGTATGAAGTCAGCTGCTATAGTGGTCATCATATTTCCAAGAGTCGGACCGTGGACTTTGTAGATTCTCATACGTCTCGTCTTAGCTGGGTGCTGAGAATTGCAAGACTCAATGATTACGCAGACTACGATGCCGGCGAAACGTTTGAGAATGTACCAAGTCAACGATCTGACGCTGGGGATTATGATAATTACTATAGCAGAGGACCTCGGACAAAATGTATTCAACTAAGTCTATCTGACAATAAGGTCAAGTTGCAAAAATGAGATCAACCCACTTCTATACATCAAAACAAGACTGCGACCATACCGAGGCCACAACATCTTAGTCTTCAAATTTTTTTGAAAGTATGTTCATCACATAGAATTAAGGCCAAGTTTTTAAAACTTGTCTTGTAGAACAAACCAAGTCCCTCAAATTACATCTTATAAGTTGCGTAATTTTAGAATTCAGGAGACCGTAATAAATTACATTCGATAATAAGGACGAAAACCAGACTAAGTTAATCATTATTCAGTACGTTTAGCTCAAAAGATATCTTAAGATTACCTGCAATGACTGCTAAACCATATAAAAGAGTTTTTCAACAGGTAAGAGATTTGGAATTTGGGTGTAAAAATCAAAACAAGGAATTATCAAGAAGCAGTGAAGGTATATGTTAAGGAACAAGATAAACTTGTCCAGAGCAGCGTTAGACGCTGACATATGACACCTAGTCAAATTGGCAAGAATACCTAGAAGTGTGCATTCTGTCCGGAGCCCATAGTATGCATGATAATTTCCAGAGTCGGGCCATCGACATGATACATTGCTAGACGTTTTGCTGGCATCATAGTCGGCCTCGTCAGTGAGCCTTACTATTCTTAGTACAACACTACAACTAGTCAAAAGAAACAGGTGAAGCCAATCCTTTGACCAATTGTCGGCTAAACAGTCGTGAAATCTCTCATTCTATTCTGGGGGTCGAAACGTAAGAGACTTGGGCATAAGAAAGTCATAGACTTGGTATTAGGAATAGAGGGGAGTGAATCGCGTTGTACAGCAGCTTTTATACTTCTTTAAGGTTGACGCAGTCCACGAGACCTCCTCCCTCGTTTCGAGTAAAAACGGGAGGAGCTTTCGTCCATCATATGATGGACATCATCAGAGTTGGTTCTCATTCTTGTAAAAGTGTCACGTTGACACTAGGGCAAGAAGAATATCCGGCTCTATCTTACCTCTTATATAGAT